AGTTTATTGGAGGTGTGCTGACAACATATTTATAGCTGCTTTACTGTGACATCATCCACCGATTGTTCCAGCACCTCACATAGGACATACTGGTTTGGTGTGCGATGGAGATATTTATATTTGACCCTTTGTGGATATTTCTTTGTAGTTTCTGTCCCCGGCACAGTCTTCAGAAAGAACCGGAATGGGGTATGCAAATTGTATTGCAAGTCATCCAACACTATTCAAAACTATAAATTAAATGAGTTTTGGTTGGAGTTGAGAGTGAAAGGTTAGGGTAAAAAAAACACCATTACTAGATGTAGATCTCGGTGTCCCCGGGGCTCCTCAGTACCCAGTAAAAACTGTAATAACATTAGTTGGGACTTCTGACAACAACTTCACATCACCATCTCTGCCCCTTGTCTCCATTCATGATTGTAGTTTGCTTTGCGTCTTGGAGTAGCGCCAGTAGCCTCATCGGACATGCGGTTCCCCGCGTCTAATATGTGCTGCCTGTAATGTACGTGAATGTCATACACAGGGTGGTGCCAGGAGCTTACAAGGTGTGACCATTGAGAAGAAAAACTCAATTGCCATCATTGCAAATGAACAATAAAACCTTCACCTGTTAAGTGTTTGACTTGAGGTGAACCGTAAAGCAGAATCTTCTTTTGACTTTTCACAATGCTTACTGGAACATTTAGTACAGTATATTATTCACAATAACTCTAGCCTACTACTATTATTAACAGTTAATAAAAGGAGACATGCACCACATCACTAACTCTGAGTTTGGGAACAGGTTTCAGTCGTGTCTGTCAGTGTCAGGATTAACATTACAATGTAACACGGAAATCATGGTGGGTGCAGCCATGTTGTAATGGTGTGTCCATTGATACAACAGTTATGAGAGCTTCCAGGTCTCTTCTGTAGCATCATTAAAAGTAGAATTCCAGGCATTAATATGTATTTAGAGACCGTAGGGAAGGGTTAGAGTATTTGTCAAGTACAAATATAAAAGCTTGGCTGATCATCTTGTTTATTGCTATGGAGAGAAGATATGGGTGGTGCAGTCAGGCGCTACAGGGGAACACCAAAGATAGGGACAGGATTCAGAATCTACTAACTGGTCCAATTCACAGTAGTCAAAGAATTCAGATAGCCATGAGACCATCTGTGATCTCCTATGTGTGAGGACCCTTAAAGTGTTTGTCCATACCAAACTTTTCTTTTTAGTTATGGATAGCCTAAGGAAAGATTAAAACTCCAGTTGAGTGTTTACTGTTGTACGTGGTTGTGTCAGATAAATTTCTTCTCATTATTGGTCACGGTGACGGTGGTTTCACAAGACAGGAAGGGAGGGAAAATCTGTAAAAGGACACTGACAGAAGTAATAAAATGACAAGGGTTCTAGCCCTCGCCTACCCTACAAAAAGTAAAATATTTCTGTTTTGCTGTTGGAAATTTTCCCCCATTTCCTGTCTGGTTAAACTATTGTTACTGTGACAGTAACTGAGGGCAAACTGTATGCCTGGATAGTAAAAAACCCCTTGCCCACTTTATCCAAAACCAAAAAGAAAGTTGTGGTTGGATTTACACTTTAGAGTGTTGTCTGAAGACAATTTTGTTAGATTTGGAAAGAGTGGGAAGAGTGTTGCAACCACACATTTTTATTACCATCTTTGTCCTTACTGGGGAGATTCATCCTCAATATTTGTCCTAGTGACCATTGTCAAATGTTCAGAAAGTGAAGGGGAAATGCAACATTTTACAGTTACCACCAGAACAGAATAGAAATCATCCAATGGGGACCCCTATTCCAGTGACATATGTCTAGGGGGGATTTCCCTTTACTTTGGAGAGTTTTTGCTTTACTGCCTGTTGTGTCCTGGGACAGGACATGAAATCTCTGCAATGGGACAATGCTATTTTTTAACAATCTTTTAAGCCATTTTATGGCTTGACATATTGAAGGTGAAACAATCACTATGCAACGTTGGCTAGTTTATTGACAACCTACAACTATCTTCTAGTTTAAAAATGTAGTTCTTCACTGAGTATTGATGAGCAATGTCTGCATGTCTGAATATGGCTGCCCAAAAGTGCTGTACATACAATATATATATATAATCTATGCAGCCAAAAATCCTTTATTCGATCAAATTTGATGGTTTCAGGATGATCAGCTGTGGTGGAATTTTGCCAATCGCTTAAGATCAATCGAACAAATATCGGCATGAAGTCAGAATTCAGATCGCTTAAATATTAGAGGCGCGTGTATTGTTACTTGAATCTTGGGGGTTCATTTATAAAAGCTGATGATGAGTATAGGCGTTTCCTATACTTGTTAGCGTCATCTCGGGGCACTTGTGCCGTGCAAACAGCATCTGGCTAGCTATATGCTGGGTGGAACTTTTATAAATGAAGACCTTGGTGCTCTTTTGTTGTTTTTCTTCAAGTCCAGTAATCCAGTGTGAAACCTTTCCTCTGCAGGAGCTTCCTGTAATAAAGACCGCTCACTGCTGCTTTCCCTACTTGTGCAGGGTGACTGGTCTTGTATCTGCCTCCTCCTGTAGTTTTCTGAGCAGCCTGTAGTGGGAGGGGCCTGCTGGGTCCCTCCCACAGATCTGCTTTCAGCACAGGTTATGTACAGCTTAGTGATTATGTCACTGCTACCTTTACAAGGTAATAACTGGTCTGGTGCACCCAAAGCTGATTTATATCCTTCATGGCCATAGGTTAAAAAAATTAAATGAAGGTTTTTAGCTTTTAATAGATTGTTTACATTTATACTTAATTTGATTGTATCTTCAATCCCTATTCTCAGTTGATTACAAAGTGCAGAACAATTCCCGCATGAGATAAAAGTTGTTCCATATTTTAACAGATGATAAATAACTTGTTTGTGAACACTCACACCCAACTGATCACCAACTGCTACCTGTACGGCCGCTTTCACACTATTTTACATTTAGTTGATCATATAGCATGTTTATCTATATAATATATTCCCTTTAAATGATCCCGCTATTGGCTGGTTATGCAAACAGAGTTGGGTACACAATGGTATTGTCTCAATGGCCGGTGAATTCCTGCTGAGTAAACTGGTTCTGTGCCAAGGTATCGTGGACTTCCTGAAATGCCCCCACTGACCAAACAGTGAAACACCCAGAATATTTGTTTGAGATCTGCTGTCTGGGTTCAGCGAGCAGAAAATCGAACAATGTTCCCCCGAACAAAAGCCAGGCTATGCCTGACCGGCCAGAGGAGGAATGTGGACTCATGTGACGGGCTACTGGAAGTGTGATACAGATTTGTAACATCCCAAAATATACCATTACAAGAAGAGTAATTGTGGATTTATCGGAGCGTCAGTCTGATTTATTTTTGAAATAATTTCAAGTGGTGTTACTTTTGTTGCTGCGTCAGATGTTCACAATCGGATGTCGTATAGAGGTTACTAGCATTCCATTCTTTACACAGAAGATATGAACACATTTTCACCACAAATGCTAAGAAAAGGGGTTTGTTCCTCATTTAGGGCCCATACACACTGGCGCAATGCGTTAACCGCACAGTTACATGTAATTAGCGCACCAAAATGCTCAACGCACCTTCCATGTGCTAACAGTGTGGGAGGTGCGTTGTATTGCCATCCATTTTAATAGCCCCCACATGCACATTCCGCTTGCAATGCCCTCGATCTCGCCGCAATGCGCAGTACCGCAATACCGTGTGTTGCGATTAAAAAAGTAGTGCTCAAATAAAGCAGATATACTCACCTGATCCTTGGTCCCCCAGTGGTCAGCGCTCAAGTCTCCCCCTTTGCTTTGGATATGGAATCTATCTCGGTGTCCTCGCGTCTAATGCAGATCAATGAACCTGCATAAGATGTGATGACATTCCTCAGGTCACCAGAGCCCAGGGTAGAAGAGATTGCTGGGACTGGTCTAGCAGTCTGGTGGGACCAAGGATCAGATGGGTACATCTGCTTTATTTGAGTCCTCTAGACAAAAGGAACACGTAACCCTTGCAGTGTGGGGGTAACCCCACTGCAAAGGTACATTTTTGACGTTACTCTCCACACTCTCTCCTGCAGCTCTGGTCTCCCGACAATGTTCTGCTTCAAGCTGGCCATACATGGCACGAATTTCAGCCGATCCCTGTGAATCGGCCAAAATACGGGCCGTGGGTGGCCCTGCTGACACCAACCATCTTGACAAACTTTAATCTGAAGGTTGAAGGAGCCATTGTTGGTTGAACAGTGACTGTGACCAATCAGCTGCAATCACTTTTGGGGTTTTCTGACCAACGTGGTTGGCGGATGTCAGAATACGGTAGCTGGCAGAGACAATTTCTCCACTTTTGCTGTTTAACATGGATGAGGGGATCAAGAGAAAGATCTTAAGATGTATGGCCAGCTTAGGTTTTACCGTGGTCAGATCCTACACAGGCTATGAGCTCTCATCTTGTTTCCGTGTCAGTGCTGAGGCTTGGTGATTGACTACTCTGCCACCAGCGCTGTATTTTGGCGAGCCAGTTGAAGTGTCATGTGTAGATTTATTAGGTATCTCTGGACAGCTTACTGGTGTTGTTGAGGAGTAAATGAACTGTGAGAAGGGTCCTATGGTTTCTACAATAAAGTGAACCTGTTACTCTGCCCGGGACAGGCAAAGTACAGGTTCCCTATGGGCATAATGGAAGAAGCCATGCATATCTAGCTTTCATTGCCCCAGTAGTACTTTCATACCATCTACTCTATATCACAGCCCTATATACAGCCATTTTCATCTTTCTCAATGTTCGTTCCGAACTAGAGTGGTAGCCACTAGTGGTCTGTCCTTTTGTTAGAGAAAATCATTTTCAGAAGAAGTCCTCTCCGTAGATGGCAGACCAACAGACAGAGAAAGATTTGAGTATGTCAATTTCTTCTGACTAAACCGTCGATTTCCACTTGTGTTTTGTGCAGGTGTAAGAACTTGGCAATCCGCAGGACCTGAAGATTCCCACCGGACAGGATGCTGTTCCTGAATTTCCTAATCCTCTGCGCCATCCACTTCTTCATCATGCTGAAGCACACGGCATTTGCTAAAAATGTGAATTTCCATAATGTGAGACCGCCTGCAGATTGTGAGTAGACATTTTCTATTTGTCATTGCCAGTTTTTCATGACTACATAGGGTTTAGGATAATATGATTAGAATAGATGCTGTGGTCAATGGCCAACTACTTTTTTTTGGTCCCCCTATTAATTCAGTAAGCTATTCTTAAAAAGAAAAACATGTTATTAAATGCATGTGTTAAACACAGCCAGTGTCAGTACCTGAATCTTTCTTATACTTAATGTTTTGTAAACCCCAGCACATGAGTGCTCAGATTGAGACGGAGGGCCAGTAACCAGGCATTTCTACATTTAATGGTGCTGTCAGTCTGACACTGAACGTTGACACTGACAGGAGGAGAGAGCTGAGCGAGCAGAGTAGTCATTTTGTTCAATGTCCAGTCAGCAGCCAGTGGGGAGAGTCTGAGACACAAGTGAGGTAGCCTTCCTTACTTTGTTGTCTGAAAGAGTAGACTTTGTTGTGGGCTGACCCTTTTAACAACCAAGAGGGCCCTGTAAAAAATATACCAAGGCAACTGGACTATCTGTATTTTTCTTGAAGACGTTTTGCTGGTCACGTGACTAGCTTTGTCAATTTAGAGTGAACTGAGAAAGCTAATCAGATGACCAGCGAAACGTTTTCAAGAAAAATACAGCAAGTCTAGTTGCTTTGATTTATTTTTTTCAGATATACTATGACCTGGATGAATGAGAATCTTCACAGACAACCAAGAGAGTATTTCTGCTTTGAGATTTAGTGTGTGTGTATACATATAGAAATGACTAATTACATATATTTTTCTTATAGCTACCCCATTTCCAAACAGCTTCAAGTGCTTTACATGTGAGAAATCCAGTGACAATTACAACTGCAACAGATGGGCGGAGGACAAGTGGTGTCCACCAAGTGAGTGCCATTTTATTACCTTTGCCTGTTGATGTTATCCAGTTTATAGGCTCTATTCAAAGAGCTTTAAGGATAAGGATCTTTATTTTAGCCATGTGACTGTAGCTTTTAAGTTGATTTCTTTTTTTTTTAAGTAAGTATCTGGTGTTTTATATATTGGATATTGTCATAGCATCAACATATTCCACAGCACCAATATAGAAAGTCTTATGCTATCCATATTGGCCATTTTTCTGAGGAAAATAAAATCGGCTATTCCCAGCTTAATTTACATTCTTGAAAACAGACCCATGCAGCTTGCCAGCATTCTTTCATTTGCTTGTTTTTGAGATTTAAAAATGCCTAAAACAAGCCTAAAACAGCCATATGGCCAACCTTAAAGCACAAATGAAGTCACAGAGATAGATATGTAGACGGATAGTCTTATCCCCAATGCTTTGCTATAGCAGTTGTGCAGGTTGTATAAATATGTATGGTGCAGTAAGTAACCAAGTTGGATCCAAGGCACTCTGTAATTAGTACTGACTAACAGAACTGGTGAGACATGCCCCCTCTCTTCTTCTGTTCTGCAATATGCAATTGCTTGCCAGGCCACTGTTCTTAGGGAAAATTGTCACTTATGAATGAATTTTTGTCCCATCATTCCCCCCCCCCCTTTGGCTAGGTGCTGCGGTACTGCTCCTTATTTGCATTGCAATGAACCAACCGCTTATGTCTATAAATAGATGCCGGGCAAGATGTGCCTGGAAGTGGTGGTCAAATGTGTAGGGACAATTCATGTCTGTGGTTATGTCTGGGGTTGGCCTCACGTGGCAAAATTTGGTTAGGATTTAAACAAAATTAACCTTTCATTTTATAGTTCTAAAATATAATTCAGCCATTGTCATTAAAATAAAGCTCCCAATTAAATGAAATAGTCACCCTAAACTGATATTTTACTGTTTTGTGTTTTTAATTGCATGCCAACATTTTAGAAATTGTGGAGCCCCCAGTGTTGAGATATCACCATCAGTGCTCAACCCCCAATGCAAAAGAAAAACTCCTAGCAGATAGATTTTTATGGTAGAATAGACTCTGTATGGCTTATCTGCTGACATTTTTTTCCCACTGCCTGCTCCTGAGAGACTGAAAACTCTACTTCTGCTTTAAATAATGGCATCACACTTCCCCAAATGAACTGTGAAGTACTATATACTATAAGTACTATACTTAAAAATAAACAAATGGGTTATACAATTATGGGTATGCCGCTAGGGAAGTCAGAAATGGAGAAGGATTTGGGGGTCATTGTAGACCACAAACTGAAAGGTAGTTTGCAGTGCCAGGCTGCTGTAAACAAAGCTAACAGGGTCTTGTCCTGTATTAAAAAGGGGATGTATTGCAGGGACAAGTCTATAATTTTGCCACTTTATAGATCATTGGTTCGACCTCATCTGGAGTACGCGGTCCAGTTCTGGTCACCAGTACTAAGAAAAGATGTCCTTGAGTTGGAAAAAGTCCAGCGGAGGGCAACCAAACTAATTAGGGGTATGGAGGACCAGATCTACGAGACAAGGCTACTAAATTTAAACATGTTCACATTGGAGGTGAGGAGATTAAGGGGGGATATGATCTCCATGTACAAAATGTTCAATGGTGGTAGCAACATTAGCGATAAACTGTTTAAAATTAACTCCATTACAAAAACTAGAGGCCACCACCTAAAATTGGTGGAAAAAAAATTCCAGCACAAGGGGCGAAGGGGGTTCTTCACAGTAAGATCAGTTAGGGTCTGGAACTCACTGCCACAGGCGGTGATTTCAGCAAAGAATGTGGAATTGTTCAAGAAACTTTTGGACGATTTCTTAAGGGACCGTAATATACAGGGGTACAGGTACTCCTAGAATGAGATCCTAATAGGTTGGACTTGATGGACTAATGTCTTTATTCAACCTCAAATACTATGTAACTATGTAATATAGCTTTAAGAGTGAAAACTTAAAAATGGCCTAAAGAAAAAAAGAAGACAAGATTAATGCAAGTTATACATAATGTAAGCAAGTCTTTGTTTTTTGTTACAGATACACATTACTGTAAAACAGTGCACCACTTCACAAGCCATGGCAAAAGTAAATGCGTCACCAAAAAATGTGCCACACGGGAAGAGTGTCACAATGTGGGATGTCACCATCATTGGGACTCTGGACATACGGTGAGGATTATGCATATATTTTTAGGTCATTTTCTTTGTACCCTATATGGCCAAAAGTATAGGGACACCCCTCCTAAATAATGGAGTTCAGGTGTTTCGAGTGAAGGGTACTGTGAATGCTACAACAAAGACATTTTAGAAAATTGTGCACTTCTAGCCATGTGGTAATAGTTTGGAAAAGACACTTATTTTTTCCAGCATGATTGAAAGACATGGTTTGAAGCATTGGGTAAGGAGGAACCAGAGACCCTGCGGTCTGATCTCAACCCCACTGAACACCTTTGAGATCATTTTAAATGCACATTACAAGGCCGGGTCACATCAGTACTTGACCCTTACAAATGATAATTTTGTTAAATGGGACCAAATTCTAAAAAGACAGCCTACAATTTCTTTTTGTAGGAAGACGTCCGAGAAGAGTGGAGGCTGTTATAGCTGCAAAGTGTGTGTTGGTCAGGTCTCCCCAAACCTTTGGCCATAAAATGTAAATATGTGGAAGAGAACCACTTGATGCAAATAAACGTGTCAATCATTTTTATTTAAAAACCTTGTTTCTCTGTATTTATAAGTATATGTAGACACTTGTGCAGCCATATTTGCTAATTATGTTCACAGGCACTGCATTTAGCTTTGCAGGGCTACACAGTGGTTTTGCTTTATTACTCCTTCATTCAATTCAAGTCTAATAACTGCCTTTGGGGCTGATATATTATCCTAGGGCTTGTTCACACCAGCCCACATTGGTTATGCGTGTTTGCGCCATAACATAGCATCGCACTGTTTACTTTTTATTTTTTAGTAACTTTATTGTAATGTCACAAAATGACAGTTCATTCTACTCCGCAGCTTGTTGCAACATAGTGTAGTGCATTGGCACATGTTGCAGTGCTTTGCGCTGCGTAAAAATGCACACACCACTGCACATGTACGCTGTGAACAGGGTACATAAAAAACAATTGTTTTCTATGTGCCCATGCATCGAGTCTGCGTTGATCTATGCAGGTCAACACATCTCAACAGGCATGGTGTGAACGAGCCCTTAACAGTTGAATTGCTCTGAGCCAGTGTTTCTCAACATTTTTCATTTGCTGAACCCTTTTAAAAGTATGCGAAATCTTGAGGCACCCCAGTTTAAAATTATAAATATAAAAAATGATGTGTTGTCCCTCTGAAATCCATAACAGGCCCTTATCCGAGATAGCAGGGGCTGGTATGGATTTCAAAGGAGGACCTCACGCAAAATGTGAGTCCCCATCACATCGGTTTACCCCTTTCACATTAGAGCCCCCATCCCTTTACATCAGAAGCCCCCACTTTCACATCAGGAGCCCTCTTCACATCAGAAGCAGAAAGTTGTGTGAAAAATTTGAGGCACCCCTAAGGAGGCTAGAAGGCACCACAGGGTGTCATGGCACCCTGGTTGAGAAAGGCTGCACTAAGTTACCATGAGCTTCCTCTAGTGGCCAATCTCTAAAGCTTTATGTCAAATACATTGACAAAAATATGGAAGAGCAAGCATGTGATAGTTTGCAAATTGTATTTAAAAAAATATATACTTTGCCCTTAGTAAAAATGTCTCATAACAAAACTAATTGTAATAAAATTGTAATAAATTGTTTTCTTATTTGTATCATTTTTATGTTTATCATTCTGCTTTGCTCAAATTAACCCTTGCGTTGCTTGTCAGGGATTGTAACTGTCTATGTTAACCGTGTAAGTCTAAGATTTATAAAATCACTCAGGTACAGAGGTGGCCCAAAAGAGAAACAAAAAAAGTAAAAAATGATTGCAGTGTATAAATGTTGAGACTTCGTGTTGCCAAGCTATCAGGTAATTTTCACACAATTCTGATGTTTAGAGAAGGAAAGATTTAAAGGAGAATTATGAGGTGAGTGATTTTCACTCAGCCCCATAATCTGAGCCGACCTGTGACAATGAAACTGTCACAGGTCGGCTCAGTAGATCGGGAAGTGAGCGAATACCACATATAACAACACATACCGGCGCTCGCTCACTTCTCGATCTATCCCTGCAGAGAGCCGTGACCGGGGAGGGACTGGATTCCCCCCACCCCTGTCTGATCGGGTACAGCTGGCTCTGCCTCTAGCTGGGTGGATCCAGACATAATTGTCGGGATCCGTTTCGGCTGCGGCGTCTCAGTATACCGCGAGCTGTAGCTCGCGGTATACTGAGCTTTGGGTGACGGGAGGACGCTAGTTTGTGTCCTCCCATTACTCTTAGGAGAACTATGGGGAAAATCCCTAACCCCATAGTTCTATTTTAAGAAATAATGTGATGTATTTGTGCCTCTTCCAACTGTATCAGACATACCTGGCTAATCATTCTTTGAGGTCTATTAGGTAAATGGAGTCTTCCCAGCTGCTCGGCATTGTTACCAGGGATAATACTGGAGCGGTTAGTCCAGCACATGGACACACGGCTGTAAAAAATAAATCAAGGCAACTGGACTGGCTGTATTTGTCTTCAAAATGTGTTCTGTCTTGAAAAATACAGCAAGTCCCGTTGCCTTGATTTTATTTTTGCCTTTATATGCCATGACCTGGATGAATGGGACTTGGACACACATGGTTGTACACTGTGAACATACATGCCTAGCTGCAATAACTATTAAAAAACTATTCAGATTTTACTAGCATATCTGTAATCTGATCTAATGAGTCTTTTTTTTGTCTGCTTCCAGGAATGCATTTCCTGTTGTGATGGTATGATCTGCAATGTGGATGTTCCAACAAACCATACAAATGCCATCTTTAATGTCCTGCGCTCTCATCGGAAATCAGATGCCCACAGGGTGACAGCACTCATACCTACCATGCTATTGGCCATATGGATCCTCCTCATCCTTTAGCACCATGTTTGTTGGTGTCATGAAACTAACTTTTGTTTATCATGAATGGGAGGCCTTCTACAGGCATTTCTGGAATCACAGATGAATTATCTGTAGTAAGTTATTGAAAGGACAGTAAAGGACTCTTGCCTGAAGGCAGAAATATGGCAAAAACGTCATAGACAGCATTGGACTGTGAATAAGTGAGCTCTTAATGTATTTTCCTTATAGTAAAGTATACTTGTATATGTCGCTGATTTCCATGTTGTATGGAAACGTATTTGATGCAACGCCTGGTGTTTTAATCCAGGGATAAAGACAATCAACTGTGCTACTTTAGAAGACGAGAATTTGTTATTTTAGTGTCTGTGATTGCTGCAAAGCCAAACCACAAGTAATCCTCGTCTTTGCTTGACGGAGCCAGGAACGAAGCTGTGATAGTTGTACATATTATTCTCCTATTGGATTATAAACTCATCTCTCTTTACCCAGAAATGATAGAACTTTGGTGTACAGCCCTCTAGGTGCTAAAGGGACTCACAGTTCTAAATGTACTTAATATAAAAAAGTAAAATGTATGCAAGTGCCAAGCGTGATAGTCCCGGTGGTGAGTAATATGCAGATCAGTCAAAATTGAAGGCTGTTTCTGGGGAAAAAATGAAATCCCCTGTGTGAAAGAGGCACTGGAGTTGTCACTTCCTTGTAAACAGCGGTGATCTGAGGTCGACCATCTGAGGTCGGAGTGAGCGCTATTAAACATTCATGCAGCAAGACCCCAGAAGGTGGTACTGCAGGTAAAATGTGTTGTTAAAAGCTTCTGGTCCCCATACCAAAGGGCTGGAAGGGAATCCTTTGGAACATTACTTGGAGGGGCCAGAGAGGGTGACTCCCCCCAGCGGGGACCCAGACAGTAATAAAAACCTGACAATATCATCTTTGTATTGTATGTATGTAAACTTTACCGTTTATGTGTGCAAGAATGATTTGAGACATTTGTATATTTTAATATTTCGAGCAGAAAACAAGTTCGATTTGTGCACAGTAACATTTATATCCTCATAGTTTTTTGTAAACTATTTTGTAATTTTCTACATTTTGTACACTATTTATAATAAAAATGTAAACACTTTTCAGGTTCTTAGCCTATTGTGTGACAGTATGACCATTAGAAACTGGCTTCACACCTATGCTTTAGGTAATAGAAGGTATATTGTGTGTTTTTACTGTTGGTTACCACAACACATCTTGCACAAAATATCAAGTGCTTGTGTTAATAAGTATAGGCACTATTTATTGAACTGTCACATGCGTCGTTAAGCCAGGTCCGGGCTTAACCACGCATTTGTGACAGTTCAATAAATAGTGCCTATACTTCTTGCACAAAATATATTGAGTGCTGGGGACTTCTCTTACTAACTGTATCTTGCACGGTGCCATCCGTTTCGTCACTTCGAGCACCAAAGATCCATATCTGAAGGACTATATGCTGTATGGCGTGCAGGTGATCCTTTTCATACATATTAACACAAGGCGGTTTGTGTGACCCATTCATTTAAAATGGCAGCCCAGTGCGCAGTAACTGGTATGCAATGGTCGTTAGGCGAAGGCTGAAACCAATATGGCTCCCAACTGTCCCTCTTTGAAACTCAAATATCTAACTACCACCAAAGCTAAAAGTGTTTTATCACAGTAAACTTTTCATTCATCCTCTGAATGAAAGCATTTGGTCACCAATCCACAGAAAGGATGTCCTTGAGCTGGAAAGAGTCCAGAGAAGGGCAACTAAACTAATTAAGGGGATGGAGGACAAAGCTATGAGACAAGGTTACTAAATATAAACATGTTCACGCTGGAAGTGAGGAGATTAAGCTGGGACATGATTTTGATGTACAAGATGTTCAATGGGGATAGCAACATCAGCAATAAACTTTTTATTGTAAACTCCATAACAAGGACTAGAGGCCACCACCTAAAAGATTTAAGCACAAGGGGCGTAGGGGCTTCTTCACAGTTAGAGAGGTTAGGGTCTGGAACTCGCTGCCACAAGCAGTGGTATCAGCTGAGAGTGTTGAATCATTCAAAATGCATTTGGACAATTTCCTCAGAGACCGTAACATACAGGGGTACAGGTATCCTTAAAAACAAGATCACACAGGGACTCATACACACGCAGACACATGCAGAATCGCATACATACACACAATAGGTTGAACTTGATGGACCTGTGTCTTTATTCAACCTCAAATACTATGTAATTTGTTATATGGAAAACAAGTGGTGAGAAAAGCATTAATATTTCATGGTTTGCTTTATTTCCGGTGTGGCAGTGGTGTGTTCTTTCCTACATACCTGGTGCTTAAAGTTCTCCCTCTTTCTCATCTCAGAGGTGTCAGGGATGAAACACTGTGCCAGCCCAATGCAGCCTGGGCAGTTGGGATCAAAGTTTGGACTTTATAAAGGTAAACACAGACCTTTATGCTGACATTTTTTTCAAACTACATTTTCCTGTAATTAATTTAAACAGCAACACATCTGGCGTGGGAGTGGACAGTTGACAGATATTTCCATGAAACAATAAGTTAAGGCCTAAATTCTAAGCACAGGTGACTACATGTGAGTATGTTGGGTCCTGTAGTTATCCCTTTCTTTCTAATTAACCAATGAAAATTACCTTGGCAGAGCCAGAAACAAATTCATGTACAGTAAAAATAGAATCTCAATCTATTGTGTGTTCTTAGTTGGTCACCAAAGGGCATCTCATGCAGTCCTCTATTACACCAGCAAATACTGCGTATTACACTAGTATCCAGTGCTACATACAGGAATATCTACTCCTCTGAAATTTTTGAACAAATGAGCAACACAAATAAAACTCAACACTAATATTTTACAAACAATACTCCATTTACCGTTTACCTCATACCAGTATCTCCAGTATTGAGGTCTTCAGTGTGTTTGTTGCTCTATCATCCTATATTCCATTATATATATATATATAAAATATAAAAATGGATTCAGCATAATGCCCCTGCCATGTACAACTCCAATTCCAAAAAAGTTGGGCTGTGTAAAATCTGCATAAAAACCGAATGCAATGATTTGCAAATCTCATAAACCTATATTTGATTCACAATAGAAAAAAGAAAACATATCAGATGTTTAAACTGAGAAAATATACCATTTAAGAAAACAATTAAGTCATTTTGAAATTGATGCCTGCAACATGTCTCAAAAAATTGGGACAGGGTCATGTATACACTGGTTTAGCATCCCCTCTTTTTTTTAACAACACTCTGTAAACGTTTGGGAACTGAGGAGACCAGTTGCTGGAGTTTTGGGAGAAGAATGTTGTCTCATTCTTGCCTGATATGGGATTCTAACTGCTCAACAGTCCTGGGTCTTCATATTTTTTGTTTCAAGATGCGCCAAATATTTTTAATTGGTAAAAGGTTTGGACTTAAGTTGCACCCAAACTCTCTTACTACGAAGCCATGCTGTTGTCATAGATGCAGTATGTGGTTTAGCATTGTCCTGCTGAAATATGTGAGGCCTTCCCTTAAAAAGTCATCCTCTAGATGGGAGCATATGCTGCTCTAAAACCTGGATATATCTTTCCACATTGATGGTGCTTTTCCAGATGTGCAAGCTGCCCATTCCATACTAATGTACCCCCATACTATCAGAGATGGAGACTTTTGAACTTAGCTCTGATAAGCTGGAAGGTAACTCTCCTCTTAAGTCCAGAGGACGCGGCGCCCATGGTTGCCAAAAAGAATGTAAAATTTAGATTTGTCTGACCACAGAACAGTGTTCTACTTTGCGACACACCATTTTAAATGAGCTTTGATACAGAGAAGACGGAGGCATTTCTGGATGGCACAGCAAACTGGGTTCACAGACAGGGATTTTTGGAAGTGTTCCTGAGAACATGCAGTGATTTTAATGCGTTCTAAGATCTTTAATGCAGTGCCGTCTGAGGGCCCGAAGATCACAGGCATCCAATATTGCGTTTCGGCCTTGTCTCTGGCTCAGAGATTTCTCCAGATTCTCTGAGTATTTTGATATTATGTACTGTAGATGACGATATATTTAAAGTCTCTGCAATTTTATGTTGAACATTATTCTGATATTGTTCGACAATTTTTAGATGCAGGTTTTCACAGATTGGTGAACCTCTGCCCATCTTTACTTCTGGACGAATTGCAGTAATCGACCGCACGGATTTTCGGTTTGCGCATGAGCAGTGTTAATCGTACGACTTTTGACGTACGGAAACGCCACCAACCTTGCGAAAATCGTACGATCGACTGAAGTTTTCGAACATGCGAAAGTCGTACGATTGTACAGTACTGGCGGTTGCACACTACCCATACACCTTACGATTGTCGTATGAAAAGTCGATCGCATACGATTATCGTACGATAATCGTAAGGTGTCTGAGCACCTTTTAGATGCTCTTTTTATATCCAATCAAGTTACTGACCTGTTGCCAATTCACCTAATTAGTTGCAAAATGTTCTTCTAGCTCTTCCTTGTTAGTCCCACTTTGCCAGCTTTTTGTTGATATGTTTTCTATTGTCTATTGTGAATAACTATGAGTTTGAGATTGGCAAATCATTGCATTCTGTTTTTATGTAGATTTTACACGGCGTCCTTCCTTTTTGGAATTGGAGTTGCACATGGGTCTCATCCCAGTATCCAGCTCCAAGGCCACACATTAATCTCTCCCCAGTGTTCAGCTCCCAGGACACACATTGGTCTCACCCCAGTATCCAGCTCCAATGACTCCCATTAGTCTCACCACAATAGCCAGCTCTCAGAACATGCTTTGCTCCTTCCCAGTTGATATCTTAGGATCTGCATTCCATCAGAGAAAGCACCATTTCCAATATCCATGCTATGAGTGAGATTTGCACCCAGTACACAGAGCTCCTTATCCATGTCACTGGAGAGATCTTCACTGTGGTACACACAGGTGACTTCCCAATATCCATGTACCCGATGTTCTCTCCAACCCAGTACACACTGCTTACCTGCCAGTGTCCATGTCACCAGTGAAATCTGCACTCAAGAACACATAGCTCACCTCCCAGTGTTTATGTCACCAGTGGGATCTGCACCCCAGTACACATAGGTCACCTTTTAGTATCCATGTCACCATTGAGAAGAGCACCCCAACACACAGCTCAATACCCAGTATCCATTGCACTGGAGAAATCTGCATCCCAGCACACACAGACAACTTTCCAGTATCCATGTCACCATTCATGTAACCAGTTAGATCAGTACCCCAGTACTCACATCTCATTCCCCAGTTTCCATGTCACCTGTAAGATCTGCACCCAGTACATACAGCTCACCTCACAGTATTCATGTCACCTGTAGGATCTGCACCCAGTGCACACAGCTCACCTCAC